GCCGGCCGGCTCGGCTCTGTATCTGGGATTTACCTCAGCGCGGCACCTGGGCGTCGCTGCCCCTTCCCTGTGCCCCTCACTGCGGGCAGGTTCCGGGCCTGCAGTCCGGGAATTGAGGTGTTTCTCGCTGGACCTGCGAGAGGATGGGGTTGACCCTCACGGGCGGGGGTGAAGCTCGGCGCTGGTGGAGAGGAGTCCGGAGTGTGGGTGGTCTGCGTTCTGCACAGCTCCGAAATAACCGTCTGAAGACCGTTTTTCGTTCTTGCCTTCAAGTTTAATACCAATGATGTCTTGATAGCTGTGGTTTATCTGGAGAAGCCCTGGTGCTCGCGCCGCACAGCTGGGTCTCTGGACGTCTGTGCGCTCAGCTGCAGAGCGGGCTTGTCCAGCCGCCGCCCGCGTCCCCAGCGCCCTTCTTGGGCTGCGCACTCTGCTGCCAGGAACTCCTGATCCCCGCCCCTCCGAACTTCTTTCCTCTTTTTCCGAATTTGCTTATTTTGGTTATCTCGTATCCATGGAATTGTGGAATATTTGTCGTTGGTGTCCATTTCACTTTGCGTAGTATTGTCAACATGCATCCGTCTAGTAGCATACATCAGAACTTCATTTCTCTATGAAACCCGTGATATTTGTCTGCATTGAACACGTTCTGCTCATCTATTCATCCATCCATACTTTTTGCCTGTTGTGAAAATGTCTGCTGCGAACATTGGAGTACAAATATCTTTGAGTTTCAGGTATAACATTATCTTACATAATTGTCATAAATTGGGTGACATGAACAGCCTTTCTATATTAATGAAAGAGCTCATACTCTATATGACAACGTGAGATCAGCATAATTTGAATTTATAAGGAGGTCATATGGAATGTTTTTTTATAACTGAAAATAAGTTTATAGGTGTATATTTCATTTTAAATTTGTTTTTCATTATTTTGTGGCTTTCTGTCCATTTTTTATAGTGCTTTTTTTTTACTGAAGAACATGCATGTATGCATATATGCATACAGATTTTTATTTGTGCATATGATGTGCCTTTTTAAAAAAGGAAAGATTACTTACAGGTTTGTTGTCATCGTAACAGTCATTGTTAATATTTATTGGTTATCTCTCTTCTTTTGGTTTTGCTTTTTTGCGACAAGGTCTCACCATGTAGCTCAGGAAGGCCTTGAACTCACTGCTACCCTTTTGCCTCAGCCTCCAGAGGCCTGCACCACCCTGCCTGGCTGTTGTTTTTTTTTTTTTCAGTGATTTAAATAACTGTCACAGCTGTATATTCGTATGTGTAAGCTTTGCATTCAAAAATTTTTCTCCCACAGTTGCTGCATTGTTGTGCTAATTATTTTGAAGAGATGATAGTATCTTTTAACATAATGATAATTAATGTCTTTTAACTAAACGCTATATATTTTTCCTTGAGACAGGGTCACACTAAGTTGTCCAGGCTAACCTTGAACTTGCAACTCTCTTGTCTCCCTCCTGAGTAGGTAGTTACACATGTCCAGCACTGTACCAGCTTTAAACATTTTTTTTTTTTTTTTTTTTTTTTTGTTTTTTTTACAGGTTCTC